TAGCCTCCAACCTAAAAGCAATGGCCGCCAACCTACTAGAGATGGCCTCCAACCTAATAGTAATGGCCTCCAACCTAATAGCAATGACCTCCAACCTACTAGAGATGGCCTCCAACCTAATAGTAATGGCCTCCAACCTAGGTGGTCGTCAACACTCTTGGTCAACACTCTTTGATGGGGGCCACGCCGGCCAAAAGATGCTGCTTCAAGAAGCTGCAATGAACAGCAAATGGATAGACCGCTCCAAACATCCTCCTACAGCTGCTCTGCAGTGTAGAAAAGAAACACGGACAGTGCTATCCGCTATCCCATAATGTCCACAGTAGCCTTTCAGGCCAGTCCTGTGTCTACAGGGGAGAATACGATACAAGATGATTGCAGCTGTCAAATCCAAAAACATACCTGTGACTTGTCAATCACGCGATACCATCGTTGATTACACAGCTTCCCCCCATGGTTGCCGACATCTAACTATGGCGACCGAAAGGTAAACAGGACTTGCTCGGACTCAACATCTCCAACCCTCAGACGAATTGGGAACTTCAGTGGATTCAATCTGGTAGCAGACGTATGTTTACAAGTAAAAAAGCCAAAAAGAACGTACAGCTTTGTCCTGAGCCAAACAAGGTAGGTAAGATACCAGTGTACGATATGTACAAAACAGAAAACGAAAGATGATGACTTCGTCTGTGAGACCACACAACAGGTGGATTTCATCTCCGAGACCATGCCGTGAGGCTCTCAGCTCGGCATGAGGGCACCATGCCGCTACTGCAGCTGCCAAACACCCGTGCCCCAATGCACAGCTCGAACATGAGCGAACGTTCGCATGCACTGCGTTCGCAGCACGCTTCAATAGAGCTCATCCCAGTTGATGCAACGCCCACCTCGGCATCCAAAGCACGACAAAAGACGCCATACTGCTTGGGCTGGCTGGAACAAAGGAACTCAGAAGCCTTACCCCTGTGACCAGCCTTCCTCTCCCCTATCAGCCAGCCAGCCCGAGTTGTTGCGGAAAGATGCAAAGCCAGCACCGTGGATCATCTTCGCTTCCAAATGGCATGAGAAATCCCAAGCAAAGACCCGGAACCGGGAAATCCAAGTGTCGCACCGAGAATTGGAGACCGAAAGGAGGTTTGAATGGTTCCAATCAACCCAGACACGACTAATGGGACTGGTAGATTTACCTACCCATTGGGGTGGTGCCAGGGGGGTCAATGGGGCGGCATATATGGCAGTCCCATGGAGTGTCTGGGACAACATCGAACAAGTCCAAGTGCGTGAAGGTGAAGAGAAGGGACCAGGATCGGTCAGAAGAAGGAGTCCTAGTCCTAAGGTCCTAGTACCACCCATTTGGGGTGGTTTACCACGTGTTTTCCATCCAATAACCATCCGACATGGCTGGTGGTCAACAGGATGTGGTCTTCGCGTTGAGGATGGGCCGATTTGGTGCACCAACCGGATCCGGTCCGGCCGTGACACATTGGTCCCCTGACCCACCACCAGCTCACCCACTGGCTCGGTTGACCCGCCGCGTGCTCAGACGCGCTGCGAGGCAGTGGGGCGGCTTGCAGTTGTGATGAGAACCGAGTGCTCGACACCCCCCCCAGATGATACACCCCATAGCCCACAGTTCCACGCTACTCAAATTGTCCAGCCGAGGTGAGGAGCAGAAAAATGGCACAAGAAGAGTGTTGTACAAATGATACCACTACACGGGTGGCACCAGGATCGATAGGTCTCTTCCAAACGTTCCGGCAGCCCAAAGGATCCTCGCTCTCCGCAGAAGAGAAGAACCTGTGAATGTAATGTGAATTCCCACTGCAGGTCTGACCTCAAGTCCCACCGGGCCGCACCGGTTACCTGACATCTGATCCGGCTCTATCTCATTGGGATCACTCACCTTTCTAAGGTTGAGATGTAATATGATCCAGCAGTTCCGGAGTTCGGGTGGTCTTCGACATCCCTGGAATGTGTGTGTGTGTGTATACATATATACCCTAGAAGTCCAGTTCGACTTTTTTAGGCACCACCCAAGTAAAGGAAGTTCCTGAACTCGGATCACCTCAAGACCCTTTTAGAAATGGTCTTGGACTCCCAGGGTATATATATATATATATGATTATATGTGTCTTTTGTATTGTTCCTTCCAACTTAGCCACCTGAAATCCGTGCTGGATATAGCTATCGCATGCCATAGCCATGGCCTATCTACTTCGTCGTCCAGATCGTCCAAGTCACAGGCCCCCTTCGAGTGGTTGTAAAGCCGCTGATCACAGTCCATGCCCAATAGTTTGCCTCAGGAAAGCGACGATATAAACTCGGTTAAGAAAAAGCGCCTTTCAAACCACTCTGCCCCTTCTCACATGTACACAGAGCCAGCCATTTGCTTCCAAAACTGCACCATCCAGCGGTCGAAAAAAAATAGATCATTGAATACATGCGGACAGTCTTGAGTAGCGCAAGACAGCAGCAGCAGTGCCGAGACATTGAATACACATATACCACGTATACCGGGCGCCGGTTCCGCTTCTTCGGCTTTCCTTCGCACCTCGTGCTGTTTGACGCACCACCCCCTCGTGCCACCTCCCATGTCGGCAGAGCCGACTCCCAAAGAGTCTTGTCATGATGCATGTAGGCATCATATCTATGGCAGTCCCCCGTCCTCATCGTGTTTGCATCGTGAAAATCTCCCTTTTGGTGGGTTTCAGCCCACCGAAAGACCCAAAGAAAGGACCGAGACCTAGCTCGCTACCCACCGAGACACCGAGGTCGTTGGGCCGACCCAGACCACCCGTTCGTCTTCTCGTTCGTTCGCCATCGCCCAAGGCACAGGCAGGGCATTGCCAGGTAAAGGAACGACGCGGCTCTTGACACTTCATCTCTTCCAGTAACTTGATCACATCCTCAGGGTCCCAAGACTCCAGCTGTTTTTGTTTTTTTTCCGGCATGTCTGTCAAGTGGTGCTGTTGTTGTTGTTGTTGTTGTTGTTGTCGTTTTTCGGTGTGAGGAGTGGGTTGTTTTGGTACGACCCACGTGTGCACAGGTGATGTATATATATATATATATATGCTGACTATGTAATTGAGTGTGCTGTCTACTCTCTGCAGGGCTGGAGTACACTTACTCCAAAGAAGCAGAACCTGAGACGAGTTGTATAGTGCAAGTCATCAGATATACACGCTACCATACACGCTACCATGTTTTTCACCATCAAAATCTCACCAAAATCTCCAAGGTCTTTGTGAAAAACGCGGCGTTGTGCCCGGTCTTTTTGGAGGTTCCAATCCACCGGATCCACTCCATCTATCCTACGGCTTCGATTGGGGGTTCGTTTGATCATTGGATGGGTCCAGCTGCAGGGGATCCCCACCCACCCCAAAAGATGTGGGGAACATGCCTGGCATCGCCCTAAGAGAATGAAAACACATAGAACCTGAAGAATCCTGGGACCGGTCTGGATTCTTAGAGTGGAACCCAAACCTGACCCCTGTGTTGATACAAAAGGACTGCATTTTGGTTGGTACTCCGAAACAAAGGTCCAACAGATTCTAGGAGTACATCATATGATATATTTTGTATATCCTAATCCCTGTAACAGTGGATGATGATGGTTCAGTTGCAGGCCTTTTTCTAAAATGGTGATCATTGTTTACAGACTGTTACAGGTAATGGGACACCCCCAAATACTGTATATATATATATATATATGGGACCATCCAGAGGAACTCGACCAAGCCTTCGTTTTCACTGGCACTTCCGAACGCGGCCCTGGCTCGCTGGCCGGCCCTGTGATTCGACACAGCGTCTCCGGAGCGGAGCTATGCCTTCACCCAAACACTGCCAAACACTCGGACTA